CCGCTCTGACAGTTTTTTTCTAGGATTCGGTTCTTTCGTTTTCCAAAAATAGCCATGTACATATTTTTGTTTGATCCAATTTGATTTGATTAATTATATTATACAAAATAAAATATATTTCATTTCGAATTCGCGAAATCAAAGACCGAACGTCTCTATTTTTGCCATAATTATCTTGCCGTTTGGTTGGCAGAACAAATCTAAAAATTCGGATATTAGATCAAAAGATCTTTCGTAATCCCAACCAAATCTGACAAAAAAAATTAATAATTAATTAATTATTTTTTTATATTTGTGACTCGTGAGAAAGGAGGTTCAGTGAAAGCTTTCGGAACATTCGTTTTGAGGGAGAAGAGTGAAAAACCCGAGGACATTCATCAATGGCGAAACATGAAGAATCGGCTGTCCCGATATTCTCGTCTCTCGATCCTGTTTACGGCGAAGGATCTCACCTCGCTGAAGCCCAGCGTCGTTTCGATGTTCTGAAGGCCAAGTTCAATGAGGTCTTCGGTGATTCTCCCCAGGTTTTTGCTCGCTCTCCAGGTAATTTTTTTTTGACAGTACTTATCTGGATTGTCTGTTTGGATGAGGAGAAAACGACGGAGAGTGAGTGGAGAATTCTGGGTTTATTTCTGTTGGATCACGTAAAATGGAGACTTGGTTGAGAGAACTAAGCGAGATGATCTCTGGGCATCTCTTTCCTTGTGGGGCTTTGGATCACCGTACGGAATTTCTTGATTTTGGTGGATTGATTATGATGCTTGGTATAGATGTTGAACTTTGTTATTCCGAGAAAGCGTCGGAACATGACAGAGAATCTAGGTTGTTCTGTTGGATCCTCGTCTTTGTTCTGGTAGTGCGATCGAGAAAACAAAATCAAAGTGCCTTCTAATTTCTTGGATTGATTTTGAAAACCCTGTATAGATGCTAAAGCTGTTGCTTCGAATGATCGAATACAGGGAGAGTGAATCTGATCGGAGAGCACATTGACTACGAAGGATACTCGGTGCTGCCAATGGCCATTAGGCAGGATACGATTATAGCCATACGCAAACGCGAGACACAAGAGGGTCAACATCAGCTCCGGATTGCAAATGTTAATGAAAAGTACTCCATGTGCACTTATCCCGCTGATCCTGACCAGGTTATATCGGCTTTTCTGATCGATAATGCTACATAGTCTGTGTCGTCTCATCATTGTTATTTCGGGTTCTGGAATTTGGTTGAAGCTGTAGAAATCTATGTATTGTTTTGATCTGATTGTTGCTATGCTCATGGGTTTCACAGGAGATTGACTTAAAGAATCACAAATGGGGTCATTACTTCATTTGTGGGTGAGTGGCTCAGTTTTGGTGTCCAGTTTCCATCAACATTCAAAAGATATCGCTTTTGTTAAGTGCTTACAGTTTCTATTTTACAGCTACAAAGGGTTCCATGAATATGCGAAGTCAAAAGGCGTGGATCTTGGTTCTCCAGTTGGACTTGATGTCCTCGTCGATGGAATAGTTCCTACGGGTATGGGTTCCCGTATTCTAATTAGATGCATCATAAAAACGAGCATGACTTCCCTTTTACCCTGAATAGTTGGCTGCTTTTCTTTGCTTTAGGTTCTGGCCTATCAAGCTCTGCTGCATTTGTTTGTTCATCAACAATTGCTATAATGGCTGTGTTTAGTCAGAACTTTGCGAAGGTTTTTTCACATTCATTATTTACTTGATCAGTGGAATTCCGTAACTTTCTTCTTAACTGTAGAATCAGTCAAGTTTCTTGTATTCTGACCGATGCATCTTGGTTTGCCTTTGCTTTCGATTTCTTGCAGAAAGAACTTGCCCAACTTACTTGTGAATGTGAGCGACACATCGGAACACAGTCTGGGGGAATGGACCAGGTCAAACTACGGGTTTCTCTTCTTTTGTCTGTGTTTCTACTGCCTTTATTGAGCAAGTGAGCGCAAAAATTACTCATCTTAGCTCATGGATTGATCTCAACCATTGTCCCAGGCAATCTCCGTAATGGCTAAAAATGGCTTTGCTGAGCTTATTGACTTCAATCCTGTTCGAGCAACTGATGTGAAGCTCCCTGATGGAGGGAGCTTTGTAATAGCTCATTCCCTGGCAGAATCTCAAAAGGCAGTCACTGCTGCTACAAATTACAACAACCGAGTTGTTGAATGCCGACTTGCTTCTGTAAGTCCTAGCATAAATCTTCTGCTGCATTATCTTCACTCTGTTTTCCATTCTTCTTGGCTAATTGGTCACGCATGATTCCATCTATCATGTGGTTTTGGAATCTCAGATCATATTAGGTATAAAACTTGGAATGGAACCGAAGGAAGCAGTAACGAAAGTGAAGACTCTTTCTGATGTGGAAGGATTATGTGTGTCATTCGCCGGTGATCGTGGCTCGTCTGATCCTGTTCTTGCTGTTAAGGTATTCATCCAACTCGCTCTGCAAAAAACCCGAAGAGTTTGATGTTTTTTCTATTGTCTGTCTGTTCCATGCAATGGGTAAGTTTTCAAATATTTGGGTTTTTTTTTCTTTTCTTTTACATTGCAGGAATTTTTGAAGGAAGAACCATATACTGCTGAGGAGATCGAGAAAATCATTGAGGAGAAACTGCCATCAGTCTTGGGCAATGATCCAACTTCTTTAGCTGTACTTAACGCTGCCAAGCATTTCAAATTGCATCAGGTAAAATGATCATAATTGGCTTGCAATCGACAAAATATCACTTCGTCCAGAACAAATCAAAGCTTTTGTACAGTTTTGCAATGCTCTTTCTATTCTTCATAGGGTATTCTATTCGTTAGTGATTCTGTAAATTACTGAGTGTTTGTTGTATCTATTCGTTTGAACTAACACATACACATTCCATATCTCTCGTAATTCTTCTGATCATCACTAGAGAGCTGCACACGTGTATTCTGAAGCTCGAAGAGTACACGCTTTCAAGGACACCGTGTATTCAACACTAAGGTAAACTTGTTTAGTCCCCTTGGCTTTTTCACAACTTTTGTCATGGATCTTTTTAGGTTCAAGAAAAACTCCACAAGGTTATGACCCTTAACCCTAAAAATTTACACTCTTGCAGCGATGAAGACAAGTTAAAGAAACTCGGTGATCTCATGAACGAAAGCCATTACAGCTGCAGCGTATTATATGAATGCAGGTGAATACATACACATGCAGACACAGACTCACATGAAGTTTGTCCAACATAAATTCAATTTTATGTCCCCCTCGTTTGGAACTTGTGTTTTGCAGTTGCCCGGAACTGGAAGAACTGGTGAATGTATGCAGAGAAAATGGAGCTCTCGGGGCAAGGCTGACTGGAGCTGGATGGGGCGGTTGCGCTGTTGCTCTTGTGAAAGAGCCCTCTGCTTCTCGGTTCATCACCTCCGTGAAGGTACCACAATGACCCATCTTTTAAGGCTTTGGTTTTGGTTTCTCCTGCTAATATCATGGATTTAGAACCTAAAAATAACAGAAAAATAGCATTAGCTGATGCATATGATCTACAGAAAGTTTCTATTTTCTGGCCCTTTTTTCTTTCGGGTAATGTCTATTTCTCTCCTTTTCTGCAAAGAGGAGGAATAAACTTTGAATACACTTGACATGAAAGTTTTGATATGGGAAAACAAAACAAAAAACGCAGGAGGAGTTCTATGGGAAGAGGGTAGAGAAAGGTGTGGTGAAGGAGGAAGACATGGAGCAGTATCTCTTTGCCTCCAAGCCTTCAAGTGGGGCTGCCATCTTCAAGTTTTAACTCTCTCTGTCTCTCTTTCATCTTTCTTCTCTTTCATCCTTCACTGCCATCAACAAAAGGTGTATGTACGGTCCTTCTCCTCTTGTTGACTGATAAGGATGTCTTTTTTTCCCCTTTTCTTTGCTCATTTATTTGTCTTTGGAACCCTATTTAAGTGGATCTTTGTGCATTGAATAAAACCATATTGAACCCGAGACCTAACTGATCAAGTCATTTAAGGTTCAATTCTGACTTTCGGATCTATGGTTTATGAAATCAGCAGATCTTTTCAGAGGCAAAATTCTAACCATTCAAAAAATCATCAGTCTAGAAGATCTACACGGAATTTAACCACTTAGAGAAACAACTTATTACAAACATATGATATGTACCCTCTTTTGTCATGAAAACTCAAGCTGCAGGTTTCTGTGTCCTAATTTCCCTAATACCAATTTACACAGTCAACCAAACCAACTCACACCAAAATGCCCAAATGTCAAAACATCACACACACAAAATCACACTTCAACTACCTCCTCCGCCGCCACACCCGACCATGTAATGATCTGACAACTGCTGTGAGCAAACCGGCATTTTCTTACAATGCTTGTTGTCTTCCCGGATCCTCCAGCAAGCCCTCGTCGTCTTCTTGGTTTTGTTGTCATCAAATTGATCGGTCTTGTGCAACTGAGAAGCGTGCACAATCGATAACTGGATTCTGCCAAGGGGTCTCTGATATCCATTGCTGAGGCTCTTCATGAAATCCATCTCCACGGATTCCATGTCTGAAGAATTCACCTTTCCAGACTGTAAGCCCCAGTAGAACACCATGTTTGGCTGCTTAACCTCCATCTCTGCATACTCTGCTGGGTTCGGGTCACATATTCCATACACTTCCTCTAGCTGCATTGTCATATAAGAGGTATAAAGATACCGGCTTTAAAAAGGCAATAGCATCTGCGTACGTTTTTGTTCTAGAGATGTGGAATAATACAGAGCAGAACAATGATGAAAGCACCTTGATCAGAAGACGGCGGAAACGTGACTTCACCCATCCAACCCAATAACCAAACTCATCCTGAGTTGGTACCAAGAGGTGTATTTTGACAAACCATGTGTACTTCTTCGCATATGGAAAAGGCTCAAACAAGTTCTGCCAGTTAAAGTCAGGGTTCAAGCAATCCTGCATTCAACATCAGATGGGTCAAAGACTCAAGCCAATGAAGCTAAAGCTTAAAGTTAAAGAGACATTGTATAAAACCAGAAGTTGAAAAAAAAAAAACATGCCCAGAAACCTGCAATCCGTTGGATAGATATGCTAGGGTTCTTTTTAGTGAAAAATCGAGAAAGTAAAAGCTCACCTTTGTCAAATTATGCCCTCGGAGAAACTCTGCCCTTATTTTATAGTACGTACTCCGAGTTATGTTGGAATTGCAGTATTGGTGTGCACCACATGGCAATTGGATGGGCATTAAGCCTGGAGGATATCCAACAGCGGGGTAATTTCCATCTCGCAGCCTCACTGGCCTAGGCCATTGCCAGTATGCAAATGTACTGAAAAAATTTGCCAGAAGGGCCCCCAAAGTAGCGATTGGGTAACACTGACACACGAAACCAGCGAGAATAGCCATATGTACTCCCCCTAGGAATCCATTCAACTGAGACAGCAAAAGATCATATCGCATTGAAATTATGCATCGATGTAGAATTTCTCAGTTATGAGCTATGAAACTCAATTAGCACTCACGTTACCGTATACTCCTCGCCTCTTTGCCCATAACTTGACACATCGCAGCAAAGATTGGAATTTCTACGACAAGAATGGAGTGCTCAACAAAGAAAAATTCAACCATCAAGTTGTACTGAAGATGCGTAAAAAGTTGTTAAACATCATGGAATATAGTATCACCATTACCTCCAATACTGGAACCAGCTGAATAATGCATTTATTTGCACGAACTCCAGACAAGCTTTTCCAACTCGTCTCATCAATGTTCCTCAGAAAGAAAGGATTGAGCACATTCACATTCTGCAGTACACATGCTCAAGAAGTTGATACTCACAAGTCACAACTATGCTTTCTCCAAAGGAATGTAACCAGAATTTAGAGTAAATACTGAGAACGCACATCTGGGACGGTTAATACTTTAAGCTGAGCATATGGAAGATCGATCAAGATTCCATCAAACTTGAAGCGGATGAGAGGAACTTTGGCATCTTTAACACAGTGGATCTCAGAAACTTCTGGTCTACTTTTGAGCATGTTACGCAAAACAACGAAAAAATCCTCCTGCATGCATGAGACAACCCACCTCAGACCTGTCTCAAAGTATTTTTTTAATGATTTGATAGACTAGGTGAACTCACAGCTATGGTGGCAAAGAAAGGACCAACACAGAGAGCATCAAGGTCTGACTCAGAACCATGGACCTGTAAATGAGAGAGATAATACATAATAGTTAATCAAAACATAATGAACGGATGGTAAAGTATTCTTTGATATCATTTTCTTTACTCTTTAGGTTTTCAAGTTACTTCTTGTTGTATGATTTAAATGATGAAACTTGAAACAAAGGCCTGTTTGAATTTGTTCAGAACAAACTTTGTAAGGCTAAGAGAGTTCAATGGCTAAGAGAGTTCATGAGACGTTATACATGAAATTTGTAAGGGAGCAGCTTTAATAAAAGATAATTACCCCAAGGCCATAAGAACCATAAGCTATTACGGTCGCGCTGGTGGCTGCAATCTGATGTTTTGGAAGACGACGTTGCCAAGCAACTTTCTTGACCCATTTCAAAACTATCTGCCCATTGACTCGTGTAAATCACCGCTTAAATTACTCCATAAGCTTGAAAAATGCTCATACAAACATGCAATCAAATGAGAGAAAAGGTTGCCATTCATCCTCAAGCTCAAAGAGGTCATGGAATGAACAACATCCAGGCTAAGAATCGTAACCATTCTCAAGCGTGACAAGAAATGCGAGACAACGCTTGTGACGTTTAAACACACAAGACAAAAGAACTGAACCCAAGCAAGACAACATGATTCCAGCAATCCAGCAAGAACTCTACGATTGAACATTCATGGAAGAAAAGATAAAACCATCAATGTGATTATGAATGTACCCTTTTTAGCTTCTCGATAATAGCCCTTCTTCTGTTCTCCTCCTCCAGAGACGGAATCAGTCCTTCGTTGACCATAAGCTACCACCGACAAACACAATCATCAAGCAGCCCAAATCAAAGGAACCAATATCATCTCTGACACGCGAAATATCACGGACAAATGGGTAGACATTGTTTACCCGACGAAGCAAAATCGAGCTTTCTTCTTCCATCGGAGCCATAGGAGGAGGAAAACCCAATGACGCGACCAAAGCCGAAACGTGCGGAACAAGAACCCCACCGCGAGGCGCGAAGCAAGGGTTTATCGCGCCAAACGGGTAGCGGGCAAATCCTGAATCAGGGTTCAAAGAGAAATGATCGGAGAAAAAGCGGCGATGATCGAAGTCGGAGAAGACATGAACATTTTGGCGGTTGGCATAATCCGCCATACAAAATGAAAGAAAAACAGCCAAAAGATTTTTTTCCTAGAAAATTTATCCCTTCTATCTCTCTTTTTCTCTCTGTCTTTTCCCAGAAATTTTTTCCCTTGTTTTCCGGGAAACTCGCAGAAAATCTTGGTGGCAAGAAAATTGAGCGACTCCCCCTATGATTCTATTTCTTATATCCTCTGTGACCTCTCCGCCTCGCCTCTTCTCTTTTTAAATTTGAGAAGGCTAAAATCATCTACCTCCAGGTGTACAAAGTAAGCCGATGAAATGAATCCACGTGTCATAAATGTAGGCCTTGATTGGTTGAAGGTCAAGCTGGGGATGACGGGGACTCACGATTTTGACGCGAAATTCGAGTGTGCCGCCACGTCGGCATCTACTTTCATGCTTTCTCAAACTGGACCCAAATTTGTTATTAATTACAAATTCACCCCATTTAGATCAATGCTTATAATTACAATACAATAACGAGTACAATATATCATATCATATAATATGGGTACCTATTATTAGTGTATTTGATTTGGTTGTTTATTTTTATAACCCCACATACATAACATATATCTGCAAATTGCCCCATTTTTTAAAAAAAATCTTAGATACAGAGAAGATACAATTGTAAAATTACCGAGAATGAAATAAAAATGCATTTATAAAACCCTATTCAATGATTGCTCATTATTTTATTTCTTCGATCTCAATCTTTTCATGCTTCTAAATCAATGATTTTTTTTTTCCAAAATAAAATCTAAACCCACAATTTATTTCAGAAACCCATATCACACAGAAGAGAAGAACACAAAAAAAAGGCGGAGAATCAATCAGAGGGTACAGCCACAGAGCAAGAAGTAGCAACAGAGCATGGCGACAAGAGCGAGAGACTCAACGATGGTGACGAAGCTCCACAAGACGTCGTCGATTATGGAGAAACCAGACATCCTCAGACTCGACAGGCTCAGGTACGAGAAATCCACCTCCGGCCACCGGAAAATCCATGATGACGTCAGGTACGACGGCAGATCCATCGAAACCCACCTGAAAGATGACATCAGCAGCCGCGTCTCTGTTCTCTTCCTCCGTCGCCGGATTCCGCCTCCGTGTTTGTTTACTGTTCAAGAATTTCGGGGGTTCTCTCTTTTTGTTATCTTTCTCGGCTCTTCTTCGTCTGTGAAAAAGGATAATTTTTTGTAATTATGATTTTTCTTCATTTATGATGTGACTCTTGTTTGACAAGTGGGGTTTATTCGGTGGTCAGTGTCAATTAATTTCCATGTTTCATGTATTTTGATATGAAAATATCATAAATTGCATGAAAACTTTAAAGTAAAGTAATTCATTGAACTTTTTAATTATTATTTTTTGTCTCCACAACCGTAGCTAATTAATTAATATATTGAAAAAACATACAACAAGGCTTTCAAATTTGGGTTCCATTTTGTTTTTAATATGAAAAAACAGGAGGAGGCGAAAATTGACAAAAAAAAGAAGGAAAATAAACGAAATTTGGGTTTTGGTTTTGTTTTTTAGTTTACACATTTATATGATGATATTTTAAAAAAATATCGTCGGAATATAATTATATATGGGTCTCTTTTGTGGTCGTCCACATCTGGTTTCAACCTTTTTTTCTTTCTTAATTTTGTTTTTAGTTTGGTGGTCCAAAGACAATACATGACGTCCACGTGCTTCATATGATGATTTCTTTTGAGGCCCAATGGGCCTCATCCAAATCTTTCTTCACTCTCTCCCTAATCAATTATTAATCTTACGGCCCATCAAGCCCATGAAGTTCAATATTTAAAAATTTTGACATACTGATATTTTAATATATATATATATATATATATATATCTAAATCTGTTCTGTCATATATCACACAGAGGAATTCTTAGAACTCTATAAAGTGTTATGTATTTTTTTCTTTCAAAAATTGAATATGTAGATTTGTACAGTGTTTTGATGTTGTTATGTGTTTATTTGACTAAAGTTTATTTCGTGTTAAAAATATTAAGAAATAAATGGATTTCGTTGACGTTCAATTCGTTTTGAATTTTAATTTTGAGAACTGAAAAAAAAAAAAAAACTAGAGTTGGATCCGAACGAATGCTAATGTCGGTGGCACAGCCCTCTGGAGCTTGCCGACAGCTCCGAAGACCGAATCTAAGGAACGCGTTATTCTCACGTGACACTTCCACTGGAATTAACATGCACCCTCCCGCATGGAATCTAAGCTCTTTCGCAAACTCCACCGGTTTGTAATTAAAGCTTGAGATTTATTTGGGTGACACGTCATTTTCATGCCAATTCCATGCGGCGGTTCATACCATAATTCCTGTGTATAAAGTCACAGATCCAGTGGTCTAGAATTGCTGATTCCGTATAAATCTTTTTTTTTCAGACTATATGTATAATATGTATGTGTGTATATATATATTATATCCCCATTGAATTCTGTATTTATTTGTTTTATGATTACGTAAGTTCAATATTCACTGAACTTGTGAATCTCACACTGATACGAGGCTTCTATCTGCCTGGAAAATTGGCGTCGGGGGATCGATCGAACCAGACTGTCTGAATCCCACCTTTGATCGAATCGAAGAACGAGTCCTGTTTCGCCTTCCCCATGGAATTCTCCAGAATCGTCGCTCTCAGATAGATCTGGTACGAAGACCTAGGCAGATTACCAAAATCTTCGGCATTTGATTTGAGAGTAGAGTTGCCTCCGATTTCAGTTTGCATCCGTCTCCTTCTCTCGCTCGATCGTCCTTTTTCTGGCCAAAAATGGAGATTTCTGGACCTGTTACACCTGGACAGGTAGTCTCCTTGGAGCGACATGCTTACTGTTTCTCCTCGTTTGAGGTTCATCTGCGTCGGATCTTGTTTGATTTAAGAGTTTGAGCGCTTGTTTCCGAGAATCGCGGTTCTCCTGTCGATTTATTGCAAGTATGCTTGCGATTGTGTTGTTCATATTTGCAGGTCTCGGTTTTGCTGGGATTTCTGCCGGTCTTATTAGCTTGGTTATACTCCGAGTATCTGCATTATGGCAAGAATTCTGCCTCCGCCAAAGCGTGAGTTGATTTGAGCTCTTGTACTTGTACGATGAAGTTAGTTCAAGTTTGTCTTGACATTGGGGTTTGTCTGCTCTCAACGTCAGTAGGCTGTCCGATGTCAATTTAGTGGAAATATCAAAGGATCTGGTGAAAACTGATGATGATAAAGCTCTGTTACTGGAAGGAGGAAGTCTTCAGTCAGGTTCTCCTAGAGCCAGGGCCTCGCCCATTCCTTCTCCTATCCTCAGGTTACTAAAAGGGTTCCATTAGTTTTTCGAAGCAACCTATGATTTGTCTGCTGTTCTCTTACATGCTTATGTCTGGTTCTGGACAGGTTCTTCCTTTTGGATGAGTCCTTCTTAGTTGAGAACCGGCTTACTCTTAGAGCATTGTGAGTCTTGGATTCATATGGCAAGAATTCCAATAAACGTATTTGGGAGTTTCATATTTCTGATATCTTAAAACCCACAATGTCTATGCCTTCTGCAGAGTGGAATTCATGGTGCTTTTGGCGTACTATTACATATGTGACCGCACAGATGTTTTCAACTCCTCCAAGAAGGTGGTGGTGATATCTTTTTTAGTTCTTGCTATATAAGTTATGGTTATGTTGCAGCATAATATTTACAAATTCTTCTGAACATCTTGCTAGGTTCTAAGTAGTATGGAAAACAAAGGACCCCATAAGATTTTGGTTTGAGATGTTATGATAAATTATTGCTGCTGGTGTTTGGTTTACCCATCTATGCTTCCATGTTTCTGATTGGCTTCTCTATTTTGTTGTTTTTTTATTGCATGTTAATGCAGAGCTACAACCGGGATCTCTTTCTGTTCCTGTACTTCCTTCTCATCATAGCTTCCGCATTAACTTCTTTCAAGATACATAATGATAAATCGGCTTTCTCTGGGAAGTCCATCATGTACTTGAATAGGCATCAAACAGAGGAATGGAAAGGCTGGATGCAGGTTTGTTTTTACATATATGATAAAGACTTCCCCTATCGATTTGTTATATGTTTGTTGACACATCTGGTAGAAACTAGGGAGATATTTTCACTAATTCATACTGTTTTATTCTTCATGTGCATTCATCTGCCTTTGCCTTATTATTGCCCTATTTTCGTGTCTTGTAGGTCTTGTTTTTGATGTACCACTACTTTGCTGCTTCAGAAATCTATAATGCAATCCGTATTTTTATTGCCGCCTATGTGTGGATGACTGGATTTGGAAACTTTTCTTACTACTACATCCGCAAAGACTTTAGTCTTGCAAGGTTTGCACAGGTGGGGCCTCTAGGCTCAAGGGTCTTCTTATTTCTTAGCCGTTCCCTACTTGAGATCTTAACATAATTTTTGTTCAACAGATGATGTGGCGGCTAAATTTTTTGGTCATTTTCTGCTGCATTATCCTCAACAACAGTTACATGTTATACTACATATGTCCAATGCACACCCTGTTCACTCTAATGGTCTATGGAGCACTTGGTATTCTGAACAAGTTCAATGAGTTTGGTTCAGTCATCGCTGCCAAAATCGTTGCTTGCTTCCTAGTGGTTATCCTCATATGGGAAGTTCCTGGGGTTTTTGAATGGGTTTGGAGTCCATTTACTTTCTTCATGGGTGAGCCACTATCCAGATCTTGTGTTTTCTACTAAAAGAATGTGCTTATGAGACGATGACTCAATCAAACGGCTCAAAATTGCAGGTTACACTGACCCAGCAAAACCACAGTTGCCTCTCTTGCATGAGTGGCATTTCCGTTCAGGCCTCGATCGGTACATATGGATTATCGGGATGATATATGCATATTACCATCCAACTGTAAGTTTTCTTTATGCTTAATTATCTTGATTACCTTTTATCTTCATATTGACTCATTTCTCGAATGGTTGGTTTATAGATAATCATAAATCATCCTCCATTTCTTTGATGTGTCTCTTAATATAAGGTTGAAAGATGGATGGAAAAGTTGGAGGAAGCTGAAGTGAAGTCCAGGGTAGCAATCAAAACAACTGTGGCGCTGATAGCATTAACGGTAAAACAAATCCCCACCCCACTTCCTGTCCTAACGAATGAAATCTGACATTTCTGTTCTTCCACCTAATCTGGCTCTTGTTTTCATGAAACCTTTAGGTGGGATTTTTCTGGTACGAGTATATATACAAACTGGACAAGCTCACTTACAACAAATACCATCCTTACACCTCATGGATTCCGATAACGTATTTCACTTCCCGTTTAAAGCTATATATGCTGGAAATTTTCGATCTCGACTAACTTGTATGAGTCTCTTCTTACTTGCCAGAGTTTATATATGCCTCCGAAACATCACCCAGTCTTTCCGCAGCTACAGTTTGACCCTTCTCGCGTAAGGCATCTTTCAATCAATTGGATTCTTGCTCATGTGATCTGGCATTTCAGTTCCTTTTGAGTATGGCATTTCTCTCGGTTCTTTTTATAGGTGGCTTGGGAAGATAACACTGGAGACATATATCTCCCAGTTTCATATATGGCTGAGGTACTATCAAATCCTATTTGCGGATGTTTATGAATTTATTATCAAAGGAAGACTTACCCATCTCGTCTTCTCAAAACCCGCAGAACGGGAGTTCCTGATGGTCAACCCAAGTTGTTGCTTTCTCTCATCCCCGAGTACCCGCTGCTGAACTTCATGCTCACTTCTTCGGTTTACATCGCGGTAAGAAATTCCCTTCTCCGAAAATCACCAACGTTCTTTCAAATCCGGAAAGATATTATGATCTGTTTTGCCCTGCCGCTGATTTAGAGTCGGTATATATCAGATTTCCTACAGGCTATTTGAGCTGACAAACACTCTGAAAGTGGCGTTTGTGCCGGCAAAGGACAACAAAAGGCTGATGCACAACTTCGTCTCAGCAGCTATAATCTCCACTTGTTTGTACTTCTTGTCGTTTGTTCTGCTCAGAGTCCCCCAGATGCTGGTTAGTTAAATAATCCTCTCGATCTCTTTTTGACATCATTGGATCAACGCCAATGGAAGCCAAACTCGTTCATGCAGATAATCCTATTTTGTTCTCTCTCTCTCTCTCTCTCTCTCTCTCTTTTACATTCTTATTTTGAGTTCTTTACCATTCGACAGTTCTAAATGTGTCTGAATCTGGAACGCATCCACGCAAAGTGAAGGAAGGGAGCCCCCCCCCAAAAAAAAGGTAAGACAAATTCATTGCCACGCGTATGTGATTTCGGGCAGATAAGTGAGCTTAGAGAACACAAGAGTTAGACAAAAGTGAGTTTGGTGATGTCTCTGTATAAATTTTTTAAAAAAAAAGGTGACTCAAACATATCCATTACATGAGGTGAGATTATCCTCCCCCCCCCCCTGTCTGAATCATGAACATCTGTTATATATCCATTACGTAGTGATTCACTGTTTAATAATGGCTTGCTTCCAAGAATCTTTCATTTTAAGCATTTTATCCAATAAATGCGAAAAATATTGAGCGTAACCTTTCTATCTTAAAAACAAAAAACAAAAAAAGAGCAAGTGAAGCATTAAGCTGCAAAAAGGAAGAAAGAAATGGTTGAAATGCTACAGCTCCAAAATTGTTGGAGCTCAAACATATCATAGGATCTTGTAGATGAAACCAACCAGCTTCTGCTTACTCTGTCTTTGTCATCTCCAATCCAAACTCGAGGATCCTTCAGAATATGTGCACAATGTCGTACGCAAATCTATTCAATAAGTGTCAAAGAAACCAGCATATGGAACCGAAAACCCATACTGACGACGAAAAATCAAGATCTGGAGAAATCATAAATAAAAACTAAAATTTTCGTATAAAACGTTATGGCTTCAATAATTTTTAAGAAGTTGAACGTATCATATATATGCGTGTGTGTGTGTGTGTGATGTGTGCGCAAAAACAAGAAGTTCCTGTTAAGATTCAGATTAAGGATACGTCCAGAACAGCACAAAGGACTGCGAAAAAAAAACAGCAGGAAGAACAATATCAGTTAGACTTTTGTCCGAAATCCATATGAAGAAAAAAAGTCGGAGAATATGAGCACTAATCATACATTACTTAACAAACTGCTAATCACAACACTCATACTAGTTTATGTCCCTTAATGTAGTTTACTAAAACACAATCAACCTTTTGCTTACTTCCTTCAACGAGTGAAAAACTAGCAGAGAAACATGATATCTATGCCTTAACTGGATCAACAAAAAGGATGTGTGTATGCCCATGTTCATGTTCATGTGCAACTTACATTGATTATTGTCAACCTTTTCCAAATTTCCAAAACCCTAATCCGAAACTAATCACAATAATCTACACATAGAGATGACATCCATCAACACCACTTTCACAGATTTCCCTTAGAGTTTTGCCACTGGTTCTGCTAATTTTGCCTTCCAACCATGGGTGGGTATTAACGTTTGGCTAGTCTTGTTTCCCCTTTTTTTTTGTGAATGTTCATAGTTTTGATTTGAGACTACTAGACAATACTATGACAATTATGAAACTGAGACAGCAAGAATTTAGATGATGCAACTTCGTTTGGGTATGAAGTCAATTACCATGAGGCCACCAAGGAAGCCATCAAAGAGAACCCGGTTCCAAGAATCGAAGTACGTGTTGGCCAAGAATCCCGCCTTGGCTAAGAGCCCGACCGACGTAATTGACATCAGGAGGACGTAAAATACGAAACCCGTCAAGCCTGTGAATCCCAGTATTCCAGCAATAACGCCACCGATAATTGACAAAAACGTCCGGCTGCAAATATATAACCAAGTAACAAAGCTCCAGTGTTGTAATAAACAAGAAGCTAGAGCACCAACCGACATCAGGTAATAAGAAACAGCAAATTTCCTTCTTGAAACATATACCGATTTGTACCGAATCTGACCTGTTTTGTAAGATTCTCAAGTTGTTCTGCATATTCTCTGCACTGAAGGTCTGGATCTCGCTCATGGCGTCCTTTGATCTCTTCTCAGATGAACCTGAATCGTTGTGTCCACCCATTGAGATAGCACCAATCTAAAGACAAACCGCCATTAACATTCATCATCATCATGCTTCGTAAACAAAAAGCGATCGAATCCGAATTCAAACTTGCTTTTTTGCCTGCTTAAAAACATTTAGCTTGTGACTTCTTATGAACATCTAAACTCGAAATAGTTGCTCAAGTCTAATCAATCACTAAAAAGAAGTCGCATAACCAGAAAAAAGACAAGATCGCACCCGAAATCGCGATCGAGTTGGGATACGGGAAGCAGCATGAAGAAATAAATCATCGAAAATTCGAGCTTGAAAACAATGGATTCAATCAACCACACAGATGTATCGATTGAATAAGCAAAATTCAACATTGCAGAAATATCAACAGGAAAAAACACCCAGAAGAAGAAATTGCGCGACGACTTTGGCGGAGATTGGGACGAATCTGGTAACAGATCCGTGTATCATTAACTCAACCTCAGAAACAAAACCAATCTCAACGAAACCCAGAAACGACGAGAGAAATCTGAAATTCGAAGAGAGGTTGGGATCCACAACGAGAAAAATTCGACTCACCTGAGAAGTTCTCCGAGCAGACAAAAAAAAGAATTGTAGATCTGCGATAAAAAGAGAGATTTATATCTTCGCCTCTAGTTATATTTTGAAGCCGTTCATGAAAACTGACCCAGAACACTTGAAAACTACCAAATACTTCCCATAACTTCTGATATTGCAAAAAGCCCCCCAATTTGTACGGACACGGTGTCGTTTCGGTCACATGGAATTATAAATTTATAAGGACCTCGCTTCCTTCTCCGCCCGGATCGTCGTCACCTTCGTCGCCGGTTTCTTCCACAGTTCCAAATGCGCTTGACCTTTTAAGCTGAGTAAAACCTCCACAAAACCCTAATTGCTTGATTTAATTTACCGAAAGTATCCTCTTTAAACCACTTCCTGGGTTTCTTCACTGAGTTCTGGTGAATTTTCGAGCTTGAGCAGCGTGGTCCTGCTATCATCCCTCTAGAGAAGAGCGTTCCTTGTGATTTAGATTTTAACAGCTTCGAATTTCTTAATTTCTGGAAAAGGGTTTCGCTTAGATTGTTTATAATCGGTTTCTAGGATTCTGTGCTTCAAATCTGCGGAGGTTTCGAACTTTTTTTTGTTGTTCTGATGTACTTGAGAGAAGGATGCTCCTTGCTGTTGAAAGTTCAGAAGCCCTCGATTCCTTTTGTCCTCAACACAAATCTCAATGGGAACTTCCTTCGAGACGGTCCAAACCCTGCAGAGATCAAAGAAACCGATGTGGTGAAGAGGCTGAGACAAGAATCATGCGTGCCCTTAGCTTTGCAATTCTTCAAATCAATAGCGAATTCGAACATCTTCAAGCACACGCCTTTGACATACCATGTCATGATCAGGAAACTTGCAGGTGATGGCCAGATAGACAGTGTTCAATATCTTTTGCAGCAAATGAAACTGGAAGGGTTCTTGTGTTCTGAAGACTTGTTCATCAGTGTCATTAGTGCATACCGGCAAGTGGGTTTGGCCGAACAAGCTCTGGAGATGTTCTATCGGATACGGGAATTCGGGTGTGATCCTTCGGTTAAGATATATAACCATGTTTTGGATACTCTGCTTGGTGAGAATAGGATTCAGATGATCTATCCGGTATATAGAAACATGAAGAGAGATGGATTTGAGCCGAATGTCTTCACATATAATATACTTCTCAAGGCATTGTGTAAGAACAACAAGGTGGATGGTGCTCAGAAGTTGCTGCAGGAGATGTCGAATAAAGGGTGTTCCCCTGATGCTGTGAGCTACACCACTGTGATTTCATCCATGTGTATGCTTGGTATGGTGAAGGAGGCAAGGGAGCTTGCTGCAAGATTTGAACCTATTGTGAGTGTTTACAATGCTTTGATCAATGGGTTATGTAAAAATAATGAATTTCAAGAAGCATTTGGCTTGATGAGAGAGATGTCAGAGAAGGGGGTCCTTCCTAATGTTATATCGTACTCAACGCTTATCAATTCTCTTTGCGATTCTGGAAACATTGAGCTCTCTCTATCGCTTTTGGCTCAGATGATGAAACGGGGATGTGAGCCAAATGTTCATACACTGAGTTCTCTGGTGAAGGGTTGTTTTGTAACGGGTAAGATCCTTGATGCGCTCGACTTCTGGAACCGATTGATTAGAGAAGGTTTGGAACCAAATGTCGTGGCTTATAACACCATGATACAAGGGTTTTGCTTGTATGGCCATATGGACAAGGCTCTATCTATCATTACACGTATGGAAGAGAACCGACATTCTCCAAACATCAGGACATACAGCTCTCTTATTGCGGGGTTTGCTAAAGCAGGTAGTTTGGAGGGTGCAGCTTCCATATGGAATAAGATGCTAACAAATGGATGCTGCCCCAATATTGTTGCCTATACAAGCATGGTGCAAGTTCTTTGTAAGCATTCCAAGTTCAAAGAAGCTCTTTCTCTCATAGAGAACATGTCAGAGGAGCGTTGGTCTCATGCTGTGGCTGCGTTTAATGCATTGATCAAGGGTTTATGTGAAGCTGGGAGATTAGATTGGGCAGAGAAAGTTTTCAGAGAAATGGAGCAGAAATATCGGTGTTTGCCCAACATTACAACGTATAACGAGATACTGGATGGATTCTTGAGGGGAAACAGAATCAAAGAAGCTTATGATCTTAGCCGAGAAATCTCCATGAGAGGCATGGAATGGAGTCTACCGACATACAATACACTTTTGCATGGATTCTGCAGCAATGGTGTGCCAGCACTAGCTTTGCAGATAGCAGGGAAAATGCTGGTGGATGGTAAATCTCCGGATGGTATAACATACAATATGATCATCCTTGCATACTGTAAACAAGGCAGAGCCGATATTGCGACCTGTACATTGGACCGAGTTTCTTATGGAGGAGGAAACTGGCGACCTGATGTGATTTCATACACTAATCTGATATGGGGTCTCTGCAAATCTTCTGGTATAGATGAGGCTGTGATTCTTCTCGAGAGGATGATGCGTGAAGGGGTTTTCCCAAATATTGCCACTTGGAATGTGATAGTTCATTGCTTGTTTGACAAGTTAGGTCAGATCAGCCCTGTCCATGGCATCCTGGATGAGATCCTTAGCCAAGACCAGTTGAACAGTGACTCAAACCAGACATGTGAAGGAACTGATAGGATACTACAAGCAGAACAGACAAGACATGTTTGAGCACAAGCTGTTTGTTGTGAAGCTCTACATCTGAAAGAAACACTCAGAAAACTGACGTGAGTTTCTGCCAAAAACAGCGTTTGGAGGTCGTAGAGATTGAAGAAGGGAGAATTGGGTTTTCTTTATTTACATAAAGGAGAATAAAGGGTACCAAAATTTAGCCGGGGAATTCTCAGGCCATTATGAAGGAAGGTTAGGGTACAATAAAAGAGCAGCCACAAAGGTCACAGTTCTTGTTTTTCCCATGGAAAACTTTGAACATGAAGAAGAGAAGAGAAGATGTATGTCTATACAAAACCCTCTGCAGTTTCGAATCTTGAAATGGCGGCTTCTACTACATCAAGAATACAGCTTTTTATCATTGCCTCTTTTCCCTTCTCCCTTCTCTTGCTGTTGTTACTGCTAGCAACTGGTGCCAGCACTGTTGCCAGTTTCCTCTGTCAGATTTCCGACAACTTCATGAACACTGCTTTTCAGAATTTACATCTTAAACCCATCGGATTCAGAAATTTTACAACAGTATCCAATACAAGGATCAGAGATTTGGGTTGGTCACACAAGGAACAATCTTGCCATTGAAAAAACATCATAATCTACTTTGTCACACGAGAAACAAAACACTACCCATCAGAGAATCATAACCTCTCAAAACGAAAACATGTTCTTGAGCTTTACAAACACAAATATGTACACAAGGTAGCATTAAACCTGAGATTTGTTCCATGTCCACGGGGTTTCCACTTTCAAACCTTAGTTACATGATGCTATTGTGCTACGAAACGCATATGCTGAGAACCATAACGGCAGAGATGAGCTTCCCTTGACAGAAAACATCTCTTTCCACAACTTACTCCTCCTTTGATACAACAAAACCTGTTTATGAGTAGCCAAGAAGAGATATTCACCAGTTTGGCATATAGGAAAGATGCCTGGAACCAACCCTTTGATACACCTTAGACTAATCCTATCGATGACAACCCAAATTCCATTCTCGTAATCCTGCATCTTCCAAATCATCATCCATCCATCCGAGATTTGGATCACAGACAAACACCCATCAGATTCCAAGAGATAAACCCGGTTACCATCCCCGCATCTGATCTCATCCGGTAACAGAACTTTTCTCCAGGCATCGTGTTCAAGATCAAGTGCAAGTATATAACACAAACTACCCATCAGCCAGTGAAGCATCCCATTGACAAACACGACCTGGTTCTTGTTCATGTGAGTGAAGCAGCATTCGTCTTGCAAGGAAACGAATTTCCTCCATTTGTTGGATTCTGAATCAAACACCAAACATTTGAAGGTCCCATCGGGCCTCTGACCAAAAGATCGGTGATAACCCGCTAAGACGACATTGAACTTTTGCCTTGTCAGGTCACAAGCCAAGCCAACAAGAGTAGCCTCACCATCAGGGTAGAACCTTGTTACTGGCCTCTCTCGGCTCTTAGGCAATAGCCGAACCTCTCTGGTCGATGGATTGCAGACATAATACACATCCTTTTCAGGAATGCTAGAGCAACACAACAAACCGTTACACGAAGCCCTAACCCTAACCCTATCTCTCAGAAAATCCAATGAGAACTCGGAGACACCCCTCAAATTGCCCACACAGATTAAGCTAGATTTCGTTCCCGAAGAATCCGACACCTCTGCCACTAGCATTTGCTCCTTCACAGACACTCCATTGTACAATCGAGTGAAATATTTCTCGGAAGACAATCTGTGCCAATGCTTGCAAACGGATTTGAACCGAAAGAGGGATTTAACAGGCAATCTGACCAGAATTTGAAGAACAACCTCATCGGGAAAGAAAACGCCATTTCGATTATCCATGAATCTACTTCCCAAATCCCAGATGGAAAAAACTAAAAATTCGTCGTCTTACAGCATCCGATTAACACCAAAATCCACGCAACTCTGAATCAAGAAAAGAAAAAATTGGATCATACGGGGCGCGGCTATTCGCTCTCCGTCGAAGAGGATGTTAGGCTCCGATAATGGAGCTAAAGCATGAATCGAATACAAAGAGAAAGAGAAGAAATGTTGTGGATTCTGGGCAAAGGAATTTGATGAAAACGAGAAAACAGACGAACGTGCAATCGCGCGAGAGATGACGATCGGGAAGAAGAAGAAGCGCACGCCTTATTTACCAAGGCCCTCCAGATGAATCAATTCCACAATTAAAAAAGCCCAGCCCATTAAATAGTTACGGCCCAAATATAAAATGCACCTTATATTTTTTTTTCATAAATTCGTTAAAATTCTGAAGAAGATTAAACTTATGTTATATGTTTTGGAATGTGATTTTTAATATCTTTCCTCTTCTTTGTATTCGATTCTGATTATTTCGGATTTGTAATTTGTGATTTTCTTTGAACATTTAATTTGAAGTTTTTCTTTATGTGTATATATACATGGTTTTGTAACCTGAAGTTCTCACACACTAACCCAACAATTTTACTTGCGTGTGTTCAATGTTTTAAGCAAGAGAATCAGGGGATGCCACTTGTTGACACTTTTTCACTTTTTTTTAACATCATAATTATATAAATAATAATATCATGAATTTAACCAAATTACGAAAAAAAAAATACTAACCGCAAGGACGTATGGTAAGGAACGGTCAAAGACAAAAGACAGACGTATCTACACAGCATATCAAATCCCATTTGATTAAATATATTATATAACATAATATAAGAATAAGAAAAAAACAAAAAAAAAATAGTTTAAGGGAAAAGCCACATAAGATCCTCATGCAGGGCATATTCCACTCATCCTCCATGGCTTTCTTAGGAGATAAAAACACCTTGAAGAGCTTCAAACTCAACACCAGAGCCAGCAATTTCCCAAAGGAATTTGAGGAGAGGTGAAGGGAATGGTGACAGAAGCCGTGAGAGCCAAGGCAGAGATCTGCCATGGCGACAAGAACTGCAGAGACAAGTTCAGTTCTTGGCTGTCTGAAACCGGTTTGCCAAACAAGCTCTTGACTTTCCACGAGATCGAGGAGTGCGGGCGCGTGAAAGAAACGGGTTTCGTCTGGATAAAGCAGAGGAAGAAGCCGGAAGAGGAAAAGGAGCTGAGGTTCGAGAACGTTGCGGTGTGTTTGGAAGAGGAAGTGAGCGCGTTCTTGGAGCCAAACAAGATCAAGAACCTGCGAGGGGTGAAGGCGAAGGAGTTGTGGGTGTGGATATCGCTCTGCGAGGTTCAGGTTAGCCGGAGCTCGAGCCGGATCACCTTCAAGACCCATGCCGGTTTTTCCAAATCTTTCCCTTTATCACTCTTCGGTGTTCAAACGATTAATACGCAGCAGCAAGATGATGACAAGCAACAACAGGTGCAGCACAAGTTCAGCA